AACTTGGGTTGTTGGCATCGAGGATGGTAATACATGTTGTCGGAATACCCGAAATTGCACTGGTGATGAGTGTTCTTTGAACACCTGTAATGATAGTGGGCCCCAACCACTCAATCCTCGAAGCCGAACACGAGACAACTGAGAAAAATTTGTTCAACATTTAACGCGGGGAAAACACAACGATGGAGGAGTCGGGAAGAATAAATTCAATAAATTCCACTTCATCACACCTTGTAGGCGTGATCATTCTTGAGTAGCATATACCTTTTATTCATATTAAATATACTGTTCTATCTCCAGCTTAAATATGTTCATCATATATTGACGATTGTTATGATACGATGAGTCAGAGTAGACGGTGATGTGACTTCCACATAAAACCTTATAGGCAGCTACACCACTAAAAACGTACAGTTTTGGGATTAAGTCTATTACCAGAGCGGTACTAATAACGAATTAGACCATAATTCTACCAGGTCACCAAGTGAGAACCTCTACTCCACACATAAACATTTGTTTATCTATTCAAAAGGAGTGGTGGCATTTTCCCCCGCCAAGTGAGTCTTTTGGTTATGATTGTGTCCTAAGGTGTAAAAACTTCGTCTATAATTAGTTAAGTTGATTTTTCTGTGACGGTTTCAGCCTTTTGTTTTCTGTACCTCTCAATTTTAAAGTTTGAGAAACACTTCAAGAAATTAGTTTTGGCTTTTTCAACATCCAGAGAGAAAATTCTTGTTGTTCTCTCTGTGACCTTACCTAGTAATTTTAATGACACAAACAAAACATCGTTATGGCAGGTTTACGTTTTTCCGACTGATGATGGAATTCAATATGACTACTGCAACGAGTGATATAAAAACATGTGCACCAAACTTACATCAACCATATATAAATGTTGTTTAAAGGCACTACCACTTTTTCTGTGTATGTATGCTGCTCTACAAAGCCTCTGATGACTCTTCAGCTGCTAAACACAGCTAGAATGACCAGCTCTGATAAACAGCCAACAGCAGATTAGCAGCTGTCAGATTTCAAGGAAGCAGAGAGAGTTGCCATGAGTCTAGATATGGATCTGAGTGAAACCTTTAAGTTGAACCCCTTCAGGTCAGTAAGAGTGGTTATAAGGAAAAGGAAAAAGTACTCAATTGTCAAGTCGCAGAGATCTCGACAGTTTCAGTCACATATATCTTTAACAACGCAAACCGGACCATACAAGAGTGAACCTGGTCATTGTAGAGGATTTGGTCAGGAAGCAAAACAAAGTCAATGATTTACCTACGGTAGAAACAAGAAAATAAAGGGGAAAAAGATAGCGATCTAAATGCCTGTTGCTAAATCTAACTGCAGGAATGATAAAATTTTAGGATAAAAAACCTAATGCTTGTTCAAAAGGATCATGCAGAGATATTGGTCAACTTTCGCAGGACAGTCTTTCAAAAAAGAAAAAATGTCAGGCCTAGGTACAATCCAAGCAGGAACAGTAGAAGGAGATAAAAGAACGGATTTCAAAATACGCGGATTAGCCGCTTCCGAAAAGTTGCTTGGTCTTCTGCCGAGGAAATTAACCTTGTGTTGGAAAATTGATTCAAACCGACTGGGTCCGGGACGTATGTCTATGTGGATCTCAGCTTTGTGATAGGCATAGAAAACCCTTAAATTACTGCCATCTAAGATAATCAGTTAACGCCAGAAGTACGTGATGGTGAGATTCAGTTGCTTGGTTTCTTGCTTTGTAAGGCTGGTAGATCAAACAGCGGGGGTGGTGGGGTTATCGTGTACATGAATAACACCTTAACCATGTGATCTGTCGATACAGTAGCACACGACTCCGGGAAATGTGAACCACTGTGCCGACGGCTACAATGTAGAGGACAATATATTGAATTAGTTGCACTATATCTCAGTGAAGAATGTGTATTCGGTGACTTCCTCCCAAATAAACTTAAATCCTGGTCAAACGGGCGCAAAAGTTCGATAGCATATGTTTTATTGACACCTTGTAAATGAGGGAACCTTAGAATTGGGGTCATCAAAAACATCATTCGGTTACAAATTGTCAGATACCACAGTCGCCCTAGCTCTATTCCAGAACGTTAGAGATCCCACTAGATATGACAAACAAAACTCTTCATCTCTCTTGAACTTCGTCCTCACACTGGGTGATGATGCCAGTTCTATTACGTTCCTCTCATCTGTAGGGAGGATCCATAATGCTGTCGTCTTATTCAAATTCATGGCTGAAGTGGTCTGTCAAACAGTTGCGCCAGCCCTTCCTAATTTATGGAAAGCAGACATATAGGCGATCAACTCTGTAGCATCGAACGAAAACTGGAAAATCGACTTCGAAGCATCAGTAGGGGAGAAACAGACTCATTTCCAGAAGTTATACAATCAAGGAACACAATTATTTATACAGTGTCGAGGGAGAAAAAACTCGACCATCCCCGAATAAACCTGAATATTTGACGTTTCTTAAAACAAAAGAAAAAACAGTTGGCACGTTTCCATCAACCTTGGCACACCGAATACGATGAAAGATCTAAAACAAGAGTATAAGCACATCACGGGCAGCTCAGCCAAAATCTTAAAAGCAGTTACTCCAATCTATAAGTAAACAGCCGAAGAGATCGTTCTCGTACATAAATTACAGAACAAGAAGGCATCATTGGATTCCCAACTCAATTACTGAAGAGCATCTATCTCAAGTGACAGAGGATGACCAAGACAGTTGGGACAGTTTCCACCCAAAAGCCTCATGTTAACGAAGAACTAGAACCAGATACATAGTCACGAAATCGACTGCTCACCGAGGCCTTGATAGAAACGAAGTTCTAAGAGCTTTTAACACTTAAGACTCCGAAAAATAAACAGGACCGGATGAATCACGGCCAAAAGACCTGAGATTAATTTCACAATGTACTTCTGCCCCTCTGATTACCATGTTTAATAAGTCAATTGACCAAGGTGATTTACCTAAGGGTTTGGAGAATGCAACCCTCATTCCAATACATAAAACAGAATCAAGACGACTCCCATCAATCTGCAGACCAGTCAGTCTCGTCAACGTTGTAGTTAAAATACTGGAAAAAATAATCAAGAGAGTTATAATCACATTCGTAGAAACGGACGACTTGTGAAACAGAGAACAGTATGGTTTCCAGAAAGGATAATCTTGCACAACATACCCCATATGACAAGAAAAAAATGGACATAATTTCTAGTTAGTGGGAAATCGGTCGACGTTGTTTACGCTGACTTCGGCAATTTATTTAATAAGGTACTGAGAAGGATTGTTCATACAGCTGGAAAATCTCGAGGTTGCAAGGCGTCACGTAAAGTGGATTAAGAATTTCTTGGTAGAGTACAGATGGAAATACAGCTGGAATTTCAAGTGCTCTTTCTGGAAACTGGTACTTAATGGAGGACCACATGGCTCTGTCCTAGGTCGTTCATTTCTTTTCTGTGTGTAAATGAACATTTAAATACAACTATCTTTAATGTGACTATACACTGATGGTGTTAAAATCTAGCGAGAAAAAACAGGACACGTAGATTCATGTGCGCTCCAGATGGATTTAGATATTCCTGCGATCTGGTCTACAAAATGGCTGATGCCTATCAAAGCAACTAACTCTACATCCACTTCGGAGATATATATAAATAAACACAGAATAATAGGAGAGTCAGTGCTCGCATTTTGGTTTCGCAAGAAGCTTGAGGTGATAGTCAGGCATGATCTTAAAACAGCAGTCCACTGTCGCGAGGTCACAACCATAGGTTTTATAACCATATGGGCTTTAAGGCGGACACTTACCCAGCTAGACATTAATATGTTCACTACAGTTGATACGATCTTAATAAGATCCAATCTTGGAAACTGCTTCCAAGCTCCAAAACCCTTTTTAAGCGGTGACCCAGACATCTTGGAGAAAGTACAAAATGTGGTCACCTGGGTTATTCCAGAACTCTGGGGTTTACCAAAAAAGGAGCGGCTTCAGAAGATAGACCTCTTCACTCTGTCCTTACGCAGGCTAAGAGATGATTTGAATTCGATGTATAGAATACTGAGTGATACAAGATACACAAGATATAAGCTACATAAGACACACAAATTGGTCTCTGTTTCAACGCTAAGAGAAAATATTCCTGCAAAATGGGGAGACAGTACTACGATGTAAGGATGATAGCTTAGAACTCCAAAACGATTTGAAGAAATTATCCGAATGGTCTCAAACCCGGTAGTTGCCAATAAATACTTCCAAGTGTGTTGTGATACATATTGGTCATCAAGGTACAGGTACATACACGATGAATAACACTGAGCTACCTGTCGTCCAGACACATAATGACTTAAAAGTCATCGTTATCCAAGACTTCAAGACTACCGCACACTGCTTTGCAATAGCCGCCAAAGGTTTTGGAACCTTATGCTCAATGCAAAAGGGCTTTTATTCATGTCGACGCTAAGACGTTTTTGAGTTTGTATACAGTGTTCGTACGTCCTTAAGTACTGCATACAAGTGGCTAGCCCCTTCTTAAAAAAGACAGTGAGCTTCTAGAAAACGTCCAGAGAACAGAAACGAAGCTGATTTCCTCAATAGCGAATCTTCCGTATGATGCTCGACCTTCCAAGCGAAACCTTTCCCCGTTGTCATATCGTAAAACGAGAGGCGACTTGACCACAGATTTCAAATTGCTCAGTGGTGAATTTGCACCTGATATGCGCTCATTTTTCTTGTCTTCCAAAACAGAGAATTTATGAGGACATTCAGTTAAAGTTCACATGCCCAGAACAAATTACTTGACAGCTGACTAACGACTTTTCCATCGAATCATCAAAGAGTGGAATTCATTACCTCAGCACGTGGTTGAGGCTCTATCCGTCGACTTTCTCAAAAGAAAGTTGGATCGAATGAGAGAGCAAGACTAACACAGGCCATCAAGTCTCTTGTCTTTTTCATACTGAAAGTGAAACTAAGATTCTGGTCCCGGGCATTACAATGTTGACGTTACTACGGTTAGCACGATGTTCGTTCAGAAGTGGGTTCGTAACGTCATTATCACGGTCCGTTAGTGGTCAGCCGAAGAAATGGTACTTAGTTTTTTCATGCGCATTGTGATTAAGATGAAGCGTGAATATCACATTCGCTTGGAAGAACGGTTGTAATAAGACCGTAAACGCGAAAATAGGCGACAACTTATTGGACGTTGTGCTAGATAATGATGTTGATATTGACGGGTTTGGTATGTTGCCTTACATATATAATCACGTATTTAGGCGCTTGTGAAGGTACACTAGCATGCTCAACCTGTCACCTCATCTTTGCCAAGAAAGATTTCGATAATTTGCGTGATCCCTTGACGGAAGAAGAACAGGATATGCTAGATTTAGCCTATGGCTTGACTGACACGTAGGTTCCTTATTGTTATGGCACACGTAGAACTGCAAGGTTCATAAATATAATTTTTTGCCCTACCCAAAATGTGCTCAAGATAATCAAATGTTGATGTGAGACTAATTTATGGACGACCTTTGGGCAACGCTAAAGTAACCTTAAGAGTGTTTATTTAATAACCAGGACTAGATGATGAATATGAACCTGTGTGAGGAATTAGGATTAGGATTTACAGTTCATGAGTAATGTTCCCGAGCTCCCAATTTCGGGGAAGCCGCTACATTAAACGTTGAGTAAATGGCACCAAAACCCCAAAATTTCCCCTAACCTGGGTAAACTCCCCAAAATTTCCACAAACTTGAGAGATTGGGTTAGTTATTAGATTTAGGATTTCATCACAAACGTACATCAACTATAATGCTAAACTGCCATTTGGTCAAATGAATTTTACACCAAAATCCAAGACCTGTTTGTGTCTGATTTGTTCGTCTATAAATTATAGCCTTACCGATACTGACCTAATAGATATTCAAAAAGACTATTGAGTATACAATTTTTCGGTATTAGATTAGTGTTTATGCATAATGACAGCTTAGTGGAACATGTCAGTTTAATTCAAGCTTAGTGGAAAAATGAAAAGCAGTTTAAGATTACTTCCATCGGAGTGTGATTGAAGAACTGTGAAACGTGTGGATATCCAAATACTGTGTCACAAATTCGAACTTTGCTAAATTCGTCCAGTTTCATGCAAATCACTTGCTAACTTTCTACTCATTTGGTCTTTTTTTCAGATCACGATTAGGTTGTCAGGTCAAAGTCAATGAGGACATGGATGGTATAGTTGTAAACGTTCCAGAGTCAATATACGATGCACGTGCGTAGGATATTGTAAGTTTTTGAGTATCGTTGCCAGAGTTGAACTTCATAGTTTCAAATAAATTGAGCATTGGGTAGAATGTTGCTAATATGATCATAATTCCTTGTTATATCTCAGTAATTGAAAGTTTAAATCTTTGATGTTTCGTGATTAACTGTAAGCCACTTCTTCAGATTAAATGAATAAATAATCCATCAAAATTAACACAAGTTTAAATCGTAAAAAAGGAACAGTTTAGACATTTTAAATCTAGTCAAAATCAGCATAGATCTCATTATAGTAATTTTTTCAGTCAACATGAGATATTATTGTCTACATTTGTACATAAAACGGTTGGTATGAAAAATTTGTAGTATGAAAAAGTGTGTGTGTGTGTGTTAACTGTGTGCAAAATGATGATTCAAGTATAGCTGTTTAGATAAGTAGTTGAATGAATATCAGGTCTTCTTTTCTACTGAGGGGGATAGTATGCAACGCCTCGGGTACTCACTTATCTTTAATTGGAGAGACCTTTCTGAATTGTGATATTTCCAATATTGATTCGGTGGTTATTGGAAACAGCATGTACTAATACTGTTGATTTAGTTTGTAGATTTTTCAGCTCTTTAGAGTCATTAAAAGGGCTTTTTATGTAGGTCGGGTGTTCCGTGGCATAAGTTTAAGTTTCTTGGGAAAGTTCTTCAATCAATACAACCTAATCAGTAGAAAACGTTTTGTGTGAATGTAAACAGTATCTTTTCCTTAATTAAAGCATTTTAGAGAGTGTTGGCTGTTTTGTAGAAAGCTTTAACTGTGTGTATTCTCAAAATGAGTTGTAATTGTTTTGTTGTACTGTGGCAGTAAGGTAAAACTACTGTACTAGTCCAGTATATTTCACTAGAATTCTTATTTAAAGATGGGTCGCTTCGTCTTGATATATTTTTAATCATATTCAGAAAATCGTTAAATCTTAAAATGTTTACCGTGTCCTTTACCCTTAGCTTCTCTTGGTAGGTGGCTGATTTTCCTTGTCAGTTTTTCTTTGGAAAAATTGTGCTAAGTTTGCATTGTTTCCTCTGTTTCATATATAGATTGATATTCGTTCTTCAACGTCAAATTCTATCGGACTGCTCTTTAGAATTTAGTCTTCGAAGCACTTTTAGGAATGTGTAAATTTGAATTATCGGAAGATTGCGTGTTAAACATCCACCGTACTTACCTAATATTTTGTCACATATACACTTCTTGTAACTGTTTAGGTAGTTTTCGGGTTGCATTTTATCGCTATTACTATTTATTTTCCTATCTACAGTCTATTTGTAATTAGTGTTTCATTATTCAACTGTTTAAAACCTTTTTTTGTATAGAAAACTTAATAATAAATAAACCTTTATAGACAGGGATTTTTGACTTTTTTTCTTCCTTTTTGGTTGTATATATTGCTACCTTTTTGTTGTTCATCTAATTGTCGGTGAATTTGCTCTTAACACATTAATTGTCATAACATTTGCTTAGTACTACTCTCTATGTGTATTCAATGTAAGCTTATCATTTTGTAATATGTCGATGTAAATTGCTTTTATATAGTCATGCAGTTCGTACCTCATTTAGTAAAGTAAAATATTTAACTAATAGTGAATCTATATTTCATAGTATTTTAGCTTCATTGAGCTCTTTCACTTTTAAGAAGTATAGTACAATAATTGGTTGGATCAATATTAATCTAAGGATTCAGTCACAAAATGCCAGTGATAGATTTGGATATATTATTTCTACTCTGATGAATTCATTCAGCTTGTAATACTCTGAACCATTTGATGGTGTCTGAAGAAGGTAAAATTCTAAACATGTTCATATTCTAAGGATCTGTCAACCATATTATTTGAAGAAGCACTCGGATAACTCGTGATTAATACTCTTCCCAGCATTACTATTCACTGCTACGACCAACATTCTAACTATCATAAATATTTTTAGCATATCAGATTGGGACATAAAATTACTGATCTAACTACATACGGCAACAGCACGTTAGTGGTTGTGGAACAGAACTTTGTTGAGGAAATATCATGACAATGGAGTATTTCCTGATATATAGATAAGATCCAAGTATGCCTAGTCGTTTGCCGTAACGTAGGTTATACCGTGAGTTACACAGTGTTTCAGTTGTCGGGAGTTTTTCCGAGATCGATAAACAAATGTAGGTTTGTTTAATTGAATGAGTAGAATGCCGTCTAACAAATAAAGTGTATTGATAAGATACGGTCGACATTCCAAATCCACAAACCTAATAACTAGGAATGTTTTCACAACACTCCCAATAAATGAACAGTTAGGCGATAAACTGCAACTAGTTGATTTATCACATAAACCTTCTGCCATGTGATTAATATGTGATGACTTATTCCGAAGATACTAAAACTCATAAAATAACTACCTACAAAAATTCTGGAAGGATATTCAGAATGGTTATATGCACCGGTTGTTGAGAAAAGTAAATTTAATTAAAGTATGGAGTTAGGTTTTAGTATTAAAGAGAACATCGCTATTGAGATCTGTCAGCTTGATTTTCAGCAGTAAATTTTGTTGGTTGTCGACACGTCCCATCATATCTATTTTGACAGTCTCGTCCCTTGACCTAATTTTTGGTCTCATTTATTCATGATCTTTTTGGTTTGTTGACAAGTTAGATTTATTTCATCAATATAATTATTGGCTGTTTATTGACCTTAGTATCAAGCTTCTAAGAATTATCTGGGTTTTGTGTTTAGAACTTCAACATTTTCCGACAAACGTATACATTATAGTATCATTGTGTCACTTACAAAACATCCACCTTACCGCATTTGGCTTATCTGTCTTATGGGAAAATGGAATGTACGTGATACCAAATACAGATTTTCAACAAAACCTTACCTAGCATATAGTTTTCACATGTATAAACAAAATTGGTTTAAAGTTTTTGTCTGCTGAATAAAGCTATCTGTTTATCGTCGTTATAACGGATTAACTTAAGTTATAGATAATTAATATTTCGATAGAATAATGAGGAGACGGAGTTGATCTGAAAAATGTGATGTATTTGAGCCATTTCGAACAATCTGGTTACACGTTCACTTGTTGGGGTATTTTCTATGGAAATTAATGAAGGTCAATTAAATGAAAGTTCAAGTAACAAAGGGGCGAGAAACAATTTCACATAGTATAGAATTAATGAGAAATTGTCGCGTTATCCTAGACCATAGAACGACTATAGCGCAAATACACCGCATTTTTCAGATCAACTCCGTCTTCTCATTGTTCTATCGAAATTTATAAATGGGACTAATTGCTTTAAATTAATATTTCGTTATTATTTCATATTCCGAACTTTTCGAATTCTAAAGATTATGTAAAGCATTTGTTACCATATTTTTTGCCTTAAGGTGTAGTACTTTAATTAAATGAATAATATGAAGTAAAATTATTACCATCATTTAGAAAATCACAAGGTTGGTAAACCTCGTTAGCCACTGTTATCAATCCAATGGGGTGTTCTAGAAGAGGTTTTCAAGGTTCTACAACTCAAGAATGGTATTCGTGTCTAAATAGTCTTAACCATTGATAATGGTATCATCACCCGGTTGAAGAATTCACCCGACGCATGAATAAAACTTTATGTGCTCCTCACAAATTAGCTTCTTTAGAACTCTCTTATAACATAGTGCCATAATAATGAATATACGGTCTGGTGATGAACATATCCAATACCTTGTTTGGATAATGCAGTGTTTTTTAACCAGTCTTCCTTAATCTTTAAAAACAGATATCAGGTCGTTCAAACCAGAATACGATACCATCCGTGGTTAGACATTTTCGGTTTAGCATAGTTTCAGTGGCTCGAGCTTTAAAAGGCTACTGATAAATTGTTTATAGATACGATGTTACCCACACCTTATTTTGATGACTCCTTGATTCTTCCTATTAAGGGCTGGAATAGGTAGCAATACTTCCCCATAGATATGCCGCTTGGACCAATATAGTACATCCCGACTCTATTTTTTGACTTAGCAGTCTGTTCAAAATGATCGACAGGTCGTAAAGTTACTGAAAACCATTACTTGTAATCCAAGCGCTTTGTTAAGGTATTAGCGAATTTACTCGGCGTTTTAAATGGGATCAATCGTTTGAGGTTTTCAGTGAGTCAGGCGATAGTTAATTTCAACTTCGATTGGGCTTGAAAACTATTGACCACACTATGTGGATTAAAGGATTCTTCAACCTTTGTAAAAACGAAAGTGAATCTCCTGAATATTAAGAATGGATCGGATTCTAAATAGTTCTGTGGATATCTACTTCATTTGTAGCTGATCTCAACATAACCTTTGGCCTAGACTACGTTTACGAGATTACGTAAAATATCATATTGATTTATCGGATGTCTAAATGTTATAAATCTCCTCAGTTTTGATTTAGCTCCTGTAGAAAACCAAAACGAAATATTTGGGCTCATATGTTTTTTTTCTATTCCAAACAGATTTTGAATGTAACATAACATTTTTGACAAAATTCCATTATTTGTAGACAGATATAAAGTTACACAAGTCTCCCAAATCAATCCTTACAAAATCTCTTAAATCAGAAAATCCAGAAGATTTTAAACAAAAACGAAAAAATAAAAATCTTTCCAAATTAAAAAAATATAAAAAGCGTCAATTGAAAAAGAAACATTCAAGTAAACAAATAGCAAATGAACGAAAAACGAAAACATCCAATGAAACACAAGAAGAGGCTTTAAATTATCTAAGAATATGGCATGAAGATTATGAAAACTGGAAATTTAAAAAACTTTTACAATCTTGGTTAATCAAAAATGCACTAGATAGAAAAATGGTGAGTTGACTTATACTTAGTTTATGTGTAGTAGTAGTAGTAGGCGATAATGGCAAACAAAAATACCCCATTTTCTTATCTGGTATATCCGCGTTTCAGTTATCTGTGAAATACGTCTCAGACTGTGACTTTCATTTAGTAGATTTTAGGTCAAAGATGTAGCTCCAATTTTTCCACGTGAGACCTCCCATGGCCAGCGTTGTATTTTAAATGTTGCTGCTCGTCATTAATTCATAAAATATTGTAAATGTATGCGGCTTATTAATATTGTGCGCTGATTACCTTACTGTTATTGTGTTCATCTCTCTATCAGTATGGTAATTGTGATAAGTAGTAGGTTATCTTCAAGTTCTTCAATCTAAATTTAGTGCTAAATTATAGTATGCATAAAATCAGCGTAAATACTGAGCAAATCAAGTGTTAGTCATTTCTAGGAACTTCAAAGTAAAATTGTGTCTAAATAATAGATTCTGGAAAATATGACACATTAATCATGTTAAATTCATTTTTTGGCATTAACCGATTGTTAAATCATTTTATTTGAGTTTTATAAATACTTTCAATTTTGTTGATAAATTTTTTATTCACTCTTGTTTCCTATCAAATAATTGAACTTAAACAGGTTCCTAGTTCAGAGTTTCGAATATTTAAACAATATATTAAAGGACTAGTTGGATGTGCTCGACAGAATTTATTAAATCAATGCTCAAAGATAATCGAGGAACAAACTGATGGATTAGAGACATGTACGGAAGTTGTAAGTAAAGGAGATATGTCACCGGACAATATTATTGGTCAGCAGAAGTCAGGTATGTTCCGTTGATAATAAATCCAAAAATTATCTAATATCATTATGCATACATATGGTGAGAAATCTTAGGTCGATGCACATTAGTGTTGGGTTCTACATCGTTCATGAGTAATTCATACATAACGTTGGAGGTCCATTAGTTTAGTATCATGCATTTTTTAAACTCAAATTGTCAGTTATGAAACCGAATTCTTAAAGTGTGGACATGAACTAGGATGAAAAAAGGCAGTGCAGCTGTGAGATAGCTGACTAAGTACTAATTTATTTATTATTTATTTGAACACATAAATATTGGTACAAGAGAGCGCCAATATATATGCGCCACACAAAACAATGAAAATTCAAAGAGAGATAGAAATTTTAAAAAAACTAAGGAGCGCAAAAGAAAAAGAGAACGATAACGAAGAGATTGGTGTAAGGTAGTGTGGTCGTAACGATGGAACGGAAAGGTACAATCAGAAGAAATCTTTCAAGTAAGGGAGACACAACCACTTTTTATGAAGAAAGTAAAATAAGGTTACAGCAGGATCGCCACTGGCTTCTATTCTGAGCCATATCTGATAACGTCTCTAGCCACTGTGTAGCACCATCTCTCAGACCCCAACCAGGGAGTCGTGAAGGACCAACAGAAGCCAGTCCTTTGCAGCTTTCTTTCATACCACGACACCATGTCATGCACTGACCACCTCTCCGCTTTTTCCAACCAGTCCCAGAGTCGGCAAATAATGCACGACGTAGAATTCTCTGGGACGACATTCGTAGAACATGTCCAAGCCACCGAAGTCGGTGTTTCAAGATGGTGACACCAATTGAATTATCATCTCTGTGCCCAAACACACGATGCCGAACCTCTGCATTACTGACATGGTGTTGCCACTGAATGTCAGCAATCCTTCGGAGACAGCGATGATCGAACACAGAGAGTCGTCTAACGTCCTTAACTCGGAGAGGCCAGGTTTCACAAGCATAGAGCAAAACTGCTCTCACCGACGCGTTGTAGATCCGACCTTTTACAGCCAGACTAACATCACGAAGGCGCCAAAGGTGGCCCAGATTGGCATAAGCCGCTCTGGCTTTCACTATACGTGCATTGATCTCATCACTCACACCAGCACTTATGCAGCTACCCAGATAGACGAACTTCTCGACTACGTCTATCTGCTCGCCATCCAGGGTGAGTACAGGATTGGAATCCTGCCAGTCTTGTAGAAGTACTTTGCACTTGGAAGGTGCAAAGCACATACCATACCTACGGACACTGATTGCCAACTGATTAAGTGCGGATTGCATGCCTTGGGCATTATCGCACAGTAAGACAATATCGTCCGCATACTCAAGGTCGAGAAGTCTTTCTCCAGGCAACAGATCCACACCACCATTACTTACATTCATCAGAGCTGTTTCCAGAATGTCATCGATGGCAAAGTTGAAGAGGAATGGTGAGATTAGGCAACCCTGCCTAACCCCACCACTCGAATGGAACAATGGAGAGAGGTGGTTGTATGCCCTCACTCTACCTGAGGTGTTTGTATATAGGGCTTTTAGGATGTTAATAAACTTCTCAGGCACACCCTTCTTCAATAGACAATCCCAGAGAACAGTCCTGTCCGACGAATCGAAGGCAGCCCTGATGTCAAGAAACACTACGATTGTTGGCCTTTGATAAGTATGGCGATGTTCTAACATTTGGCGGAGGGTGAAGATATGATCCATACAACCTCGACCAGAACGAAACTCAGCCTGCTCCTCGCGAGTCAATCTTTCTCGAGTTTTGTAACGCTTCAAGAGTTGGAGTTCCTTGCGGACTTCCTCCTCGTTTGGTGGATCAGTCGTCACCGGCCATGGAGGGCAGGACAGTCTGACCGATGTTGCCGGAGCAGCAGGCCAGTTGAACTGCCCTTCGAAAAATTCTGCCCATCGTCCAAGACGTCGATGGATGTTAGTGATTGGCATCCCATCATCCTCGCAGATTGTTTCACTCACACCAGACTTCTTGCTGCTAGTGGCTCGGATGAGCTGGAAGAGCTTCCGGTAGTTACCAGATGCAGCTGCTGCTTCCAGCTCATTAGCATGGTCCGACCACCAGGCTTCTCGGTCCTTATGCAAGCTTTGCCCAATTTCCTTACGTAACACCCTTCGTTTGTGTTCAAACTCACGGTCACCCGGAGTAGACCGACGGGCTTCAATAAGTTGTAAGGAACCAGAAGAAACCCAGTGCTTATAAGCGGGACGTTTCGCAAACCCACAACTGACTGTTCCCGCCATTTTCATGGCGTTATGCAATTGCAACCAATGCTCATCTATACCTTTCGGTGGAGTGGTAGCTAGCCTAGAGGCTAGCTCGGTTCGATACTTATTTGCAACAGAAGTTGCAACCAGCTTGCTAATATCAATCCTTTGATGGCGGTCACTTCGTTGTCCACTGAAAAGTAAGGCAAGACTGGCGCAGACCAAGGCATGGTCAAAGTCCAGATAGGTACTCCAAAAGGAGCGGCAGTCTTTTACACAACCACGCCAGCGGTAGCTGATCGCGATGTGATCAATCTGAGTCCAGGCTTGGGACGCAGAAGGAGGACGCCAGGTGGCACATCGGCGATGACTGTACCGAAAGTTAGTGCTAGCCAGAAACAGGTTGTGGTCTGTGCAAAGTTGCAGTAGACGGTCCCCGTTATCTGACCTGCGACCAACGAGTCCCCATCGGCCACCTAAACGACTCTCTTCTGTGCCTAGACGCCCGACCTGCGCATTCAAGTCTCCGGCTAGTACTACAATATCTGTCGAACGCACTTTCTGGAGAAGAACAGATAACTGGTGGTAGAACTCATCCTTGATTGCATCTGGGCTGCAATCTCTCGGGGCATAGGCGGAGATGACGAAAAGACATCGTTTCTCACGCCGATTTCTTCTCACTTTGATGGGACTTTCTAATCGAACAGCACATAACCGACTGTTAGTGGGGATCCAATCGACTAGTGCTGCCTCAGCTCTAGCGCTTAGTGCGACACCAACGCCAGCAAGACCAGACGAAGATGCCACAGGGTCTTATATTCAGAATAAATGATTTGAAATCCGTCTGTAAGGTGCAAATATAACTTGCATAACGCACAGTTCTACGCTAAGCTAAGACAAGTGGTTTGTAACTTGAGTAATCGTCCACATGTTTTCAGATAATGAGGACCAATCTATGCCATTCATATTCCTTGTTTAAGACTCTAAGTGTAGTGTGCATTCTTACCAAGTACGGCCCAATATATTGGGCTTTGAAACCCATATTGTGGAAGTACTATTACTTGGTCATAGATTCTTTTAGTATACTATGAGATGAATTTCACCTAATTTAATGAATTAAAGTTACGTAATAAGATGCCAAAAATAATTTAACCTCATACTTGTATATCTCCATAAATGCTAAATGTAATATTTGACTAAATAGCTTGTCCATTAACCTGGCTGTATTGTTTTTTTCTCTTTACAGAATATTCAACTGCTAGAAAACGTGCAAAGAAAATATGTGCAGTTTTATCAAAGACTTCTGGTGTTCAGTAAATTTTTCATAATATTAAGATTTTTAGTGTTATTAAATCCTTTGTATGCATCAATCACTATCATAGACTTCGAAATTATTCATAACAGGATGTTACTAAATAAACGTATAGTAGTTCATGACTCTATATACATGCAGGTAGAGCGGCGTCTCAGTAGTTCAGGCGTCCGAACTTCACTCCAGCTATTTCGGCTTAGTTAACTGACTAGTATCACTATTTCTTATGCTTAGAATGCATCCCAAAGCAAAGTCTATAGATTCTCATCTGGTTGATGAGTTAATAATGTGATATCTCGTAAGAAATATGAAGTACGATAAAAAGAAACAAGTAGTCTGGTATATTTTACAACTCTTAGTAATATGTATTGCTGAAATATGGAGCCAAGTTCTGATTGTGTCAACCTATTTATCTTTCAAAATCCCCATTCTCTATCAAAGTAAAACTGGCTTAAGATGTGACATATCCCGTTAAAACAAATTATTACAACAGAGGTACATCTTTCCCTGTGAACAGTATAAAAAAATTTAAACATGGTTGTTAAATAAACGAAGATTCACTTAGCGCTTTCATATGGCTAATGCAAATCAAGATCATAAATAATCTTTATACCAATAAATAGTTAGTACTTGTTAAAGAACAAAGTGATTTCCATAAATTATACTAGATTTACAAAAGTCTATATCTATGTTTTAAAATGGTAGAAATTTGTGAACAATCATGAAGCCACACAATTTGTCATTTGGATTGCTACTAGAAATCATTGTCCCCAGCTTTTTAAAAATGCTTTTTTAAACTTTATCTTAGTGTTTTTCACCGAACTACTACTTTTATTGATAAGTATAGAATGAAAGCGAATGTACAATGGCAAAAGGTACTTTTTTACAAGGTCGTTGTACAAATCATCGTTGATTCCTCCTCATGAGTACATTTCTTCTGCTTCTAGCCATGCGCGCTTTGATTCGTTCACGTGAAATTTCTGCTCCTTCTTTAGCTAGGTTTCGTAGACGATCATTTTCTTGTACTTGTGGTGCTTTTCCTTTCAACCGAAGGTAACGTACTAGATACCTGGTTAATATGAGTGTCAAACCGTAGCGTAATGGTACTGCCAGTTTATAGAATACAATGGCTGTAGCCAGAGTGTTCACAGTACCCCCACCTAAATGGAGGGGTTTACTTAGCCATCCAGGTGCGTTTAGACTGTGAAGAATATCCAGCAAATTGATCCCACTGTAACCAAAAGCAGTGCAAAAAGAGGATTTTCCATCAGTAATATCAATCCAACTAACTAAATAAAAGGTTTAGTACTTGTATTTAGGATGTATTTATGTAAAGGTTACAGGTTTCATCCAGTTACATAAACCAAAATATGTTAATTGGAGTTTGAACAAGTGACGCATTGATATTTTTATCTCAGTTATCGTTATCTTTAGGTCTTAAGCTAGCATTGTAGTCTGTAACAAACAGTTCTAGATGGCTTTCATATCCAATAAATTTTGGGTTGGTTGGTATGGCCATTCTTTAATACCTGACAGAGTGGATGTTGTCGATCAAATCGTAATATGACTTTCAGCCTTTTCTAACTCATGTTGAAGGATGGGTTATGATTTTCTCTTTACAAATGTGCTTTGAACTTTTAAACTGTGTGCAACTGTCATAAGACCTAAATAAGTAACTATCAGGATCATCGTATTAGGTGCATAAAAACATGGATGTGAATAAGCGATATAAATGTAAAAATACAAACGAGGGACTTGAAACTTTAAGTCTATAGTTAGATCAAGTACATCACATGAATTTCGCAGCACTACTGTACAAAGAAGGAACCCGGGGGTGAACACCCAGTTGAAGGATACTAACTTGACGTGGTGGTTAAATATGTATATTAAGGAGTCCCACAGATTGAAGCGCTTATCTCTAGCTTAAGTTCTCCCACTCGAGACGTTTCTTAAAAATAATAAGAAGTTTGTAAATAAAAGTAATATATTTGTAATATTCCAATGAGTAGAAAAATTAAATTCTCGAACGTTTCGTAACTCATTGTAAGCCACTTGTTCAGAGAATAAATAACCGAATTCGTCATTTGCACCAGTCAAAATATCATCTTTTATGGAATCTAGAAGTGCTTCTCATCCATATGCCTACCAAACAAACAAATACTCTTGTTCGTCGACGACCTTACTCATTTTGTTCGTTTTATCTATACATCTTAATGATGTTATCTTAGATTTTACTTCTAACGATTACGGCTTGAAATACCGTTTCCAGTCTATCAATCCCATACTGCGAAATACACTGAGGCTTTAAACATCAAAACTGGTATATTTAGCCGTAGATGCATGTTATCTTGGAGACACAAGATCTATGTTGCGTTCATCAATTTAAACCTAATATAAGTTTGCAACCTGCTTCATGGGATTCTAAGGTCTTATTGTTTGCTTCTTAGAAGCTAACAGGCAGTGAAAATACAGACGTATGGAATAGAAAATACTACATATAATTCATAATAATTCAATCTTGACTTGCAAAATGCATCTAATGGTTCGTGGAAAGAAAGGTATAGAGCAATTTTAATCTCATGGTTTAAAGGAAGATAAAGAGTATACACCTACGCCACTGTAATCGATTCTGAGCTATGTCGATCACAATTGCGTAGGTACATACACTCTTTGTCTTCCTTTAAATCGTGAGAACAAAATTGCTTTATAACTTCCTTCCTATGAACTAATTCTTTCTTCCTGTATTGTATCCTTATACGCATTCCTTCTTCTATATATTACTACCATTAAATTAACTATGATTTTGGTGATTGTCTTGTTGTGCTAATGAGGTATGGCAACTTGGACCGATGCATATATGTGTCTATTCCTACGCTGTAGCTGACTCACTGATCTAGTGGTTCCGTCTTGCAAAATAATTGAGTTATGATAAAAAACGGAAACACGATGGAGAGTTTGCACCACGGAAAAATAAATGGATTAAGTTGTAAACTTACACCGACTGAGTCAACTCAAGCACCTTTTCGTGTACAATTTTAACTGACTTAAGATTAAAATAGGCAAAACTGGAGTAGTTAAATGATTTATCACACTAGTTAGCTACAAAAACCAGTTACGAATCCACATCTTGTATTTGGAGCGAACCGCATTCCGAACATGTTTGTATTGTTGCTTAAAGCAATTAAAAGGCTAAATTTTGTCAATAGAGTAAACTCTTTAGTATTTCAATGCAAATCTCAAGTGTTCATTTATCTGTGGTTTAAAACGACTGGTGATCAATAAAAGTCGAAGATATGTTTCTCACATCTAAGTAAAATTAGACGGTCACTCTCAAATAGCTAAGCATTAAATGTACCAGTTTCCCATGTTTGTGCATATTGTTTATCACATCATATTACGGATTTGATAGTATATGATGATTACGAACCACTCAATTTTTATACTTCCAAGGGCTTTGTTTAGTGTTATCTGTATCTGCAAAAACATTCAGTTTCAATTTCGAAATTTATCCAATAATCCTCAACTCACTATGACGAAAAAATCGGAACACTGAGTGTGAAAACTGACCTCACGCAACATTTTCAACCTACTACCTTCAATGAGCAGTTTCATGAAAGACAGTTGATACATAAAGTATATTGACTCAAGATTATTCAACATAAAACAGATGGAAAAGTCAAGTAATCATACATCTACAACTGATACCACAAAACTTTAGGCGTCCACAGTATTCTTGGTTTTTAGGCACGGGCTTTATCCTCACTACAGAGTAAACTTGTCAATCTCTGTACTAATAAGTTATAATATTTTAGACAGACATGTAGATGAGGCGTACTACTAGATAAACCATATCAGTCAATTTACTTTAAAGAAACGGAGGTTTATGAATTCTGAAAATTGTAACAGATGATGAGCAGCTCTATGACTCAACTTAATTTATACTAGTTGCAGGTTGATGGAGATACTACTATTCTTAGATGTATAACAAGGAAAAAAAAGGAAGATCTTACGTGCAAGCCAGTGAATAAAACATTCCAAACCATAAACATGACGTCACACCATGGGTTATCAAGACAACTTTCCCGTAAATTGCATAGGCATCCTTGAATCTTTTGATGAGACTAGATTTCCTTTCGTCCAAGTCATTCCCATTTTTTTCGTTCACATTTGATGGGACATTGTTTTTTGATTCAGTAGAAAACTGTGCAAAATTTTTAGGAAAGTTCAGAGGCCGTGAATCTTTTGAGAATAGAGAGTAATGTATCTGGTTGCAACGAACAGAAGGAAATTTCGCATCATTTCCACAGATAAGCGTTGATGCAGTTCGATGAGTACAAAAATTTGCAAAAATAGAATGATTTGATGCGACATAGTTCCGTAAACCGAAGATTAAGGTTTTATTCATGGTATTCGAGCACTAATTACTACATATATCTGCTAATACAGGACGGATGGTGTTTCCATCAAGGTCATTGCTGATTTTTGAATACATTCGCTTCAGCATACAATATCTACGACTCAGTCAAATGGTTGTGGATGGAATAGAAGCTTTCGCTTAACGGTCTTCCGTGTCTAGTAGCAATGGATCACCAATATCTCCAGACAGGGACCTAGGTACAATGTTGATAACAGAGGGAAAAGAAATTGGTAAATTATTGTAAGATATTAACCTTATTCCTTAAGAATAGGTCAAAATGCCTCTTAAAAGTCTCCTAAAAAGTCGCTTGTACTAGCTCAGCTAGCAGCGAATTCCGGCATTTGCCAACTCTTAAGGAGTAGAAGTCGTGTCCACAGTCGATTCTGCTATGTCGTGCCTCCAGTTTCTGAGTGTTACCCCTCTCTTGTGTTGTGGCTTAAGTTGAGTAGGTGTTCAATGGGAAGTCCAGAACCGTTGAGGGTAATATAGGCTATGAGAAGGTCGCTTCTGAGATGCTCATACTCTAGCGAGTGATTGGAGGCGCTCTTAATAAGGTTTGAGTTTGAGTCCTCGAACTGATTTCGTGGCTCGCCGTTGAATACGCTCCAGGGTGTCCTTATCCTTTTGGAGTGAGGGAGGAAATACTATGTTTCTGTACTCTAAATTGGGACGAATGAAGCTGTTGAAGATTATATGAAATGTTATTCCGTCAAACTGGCTGAAAATGCGCTTCAGTGTTATTAGTGAAAGGTTTGCCCGAATGGCATTTTTGTCATGGCCTAAGACTTCAAATCGTAGGGCAACAGGAACCTAAATCTTCCTCAACTTGGGATACTTCTAGAGAGGAGCTTCTTAAGTTGTAAATGTAGTCTGCAACATGTCCCATATTGACTAATTACACTTTCAAGTGTTCAAGTTTAGTCCGTTCTCACCTGCTCAACTTCGATGTCGAGTCAGATCCTCCTGAGGTGCCAGTATATCCTCTTGGTTGCGTATCTCTCTCTCCAAAGTTTCACGTCATCGGCAAAAAGTAATAAGTCTGACGTTACCTGTTTAGGAAGATCATTAATGTAGATCAAGAAGAGAAGAGGTCCTAATACTGTGCCCTGGAGGACCCCACTAGGACATTCCACAGCCTGAGATAAAGTGAAATTAACCCTTACCTTAAAATGTCGATTTTTCAGGTATGAAGTGAGCCAATCGATTAGAGGTGGTCTGATACCCAATCGTTTGAGCTTATTGATAAGACATGTATGGTTAACCTTATCAAAAGGTTTTGAGAAATCTATGTAGATTATATCAATTTTCCCCTCGTGATCAAGGATGCTTTTCCATCTGTCCACCGCAGTCAGAAGGTTGGTAATACAAGAGTAACTCTTCCTGAAACCGTGCTGTTGGGGTGAGAAGAAATTTAAGGACAGTAAATAGTCGTTTATACCATCACATATCAGGGACTCCATGATTTTTGAGGGTATGGAGTGAAGAGTCACCGATCGGTAACTTGAAGGTTCGCTGCGTCGACCTCCTTTGAAGATTGGTGTGATGTGAGCCAGCTTCCAATTTTCCGGTAGTTTTTCCTCAACTTAGCGAGTGTGAGAACATCACGCTAAGCAGCGTTGCCAAGATTGAGGCTGCTTCTCTCAGTATAGCGAAATGGACCATGTCCATTTTCGTACAGTCCCAAGTCATCGATAAGGTTGAAGAACCGAGCTTCAATTGAGTTATCGACTTCAGTATACGTGTGTTCCGCGAAGTTGACTCTAGGGAGATTAAAGTCTTCTAGAATCAGGATGTGTGAACCCGAGACGAGTAGAATGGAATAGTCCTTCAAGCATACGAATATCGTAATCGATGTGGACAGTTGGCTTCCTGTAAATGACACCGTCTAGACAACTCGAAGTACTTGACAATCTTGCAGAGCACCATATAGATTCCTCGAGATTGTTAAACTCGAGGTTACGAAGTTGATGCACCTTTAAGCAAGAACGTATGTAAACAGCTACTCCGCCCCCTTATCCTGATTTTCTGTCATTGCGGAACAAAGACATCCCAGGCAATGTTAACTCATGGTCCGAGAATTGAGAAGATATCCAGGTTTCAGATATTCCTATCAGATGGACCTTATTAGCATTGCTAAGTTCACGTAGTTCATCCAATTTGTTTGGTAGACTCGCGGCGTTCATATATAAATGTATTCATCCGAGTGCTTTAAAGGATTTTTATATTTTATTTTTTTCAATTGCTGGTTTCCTTCTGAGGTTGATATTCATTACACAATTATTATTCTTATCATGGATGAACCTTTTCACTAGGTGTTCACTTCTTTTCTCTCTCCTCTTCCCTTCTAATAAATCTTATTCTTAAGATTAAGAAGTTTGTAATTAAGACAATAACTTGTGTTACATTTAAATTAACTTCTCAGATTCGTTTTATCTTCACTATGCATATATGACTCATACATAGTGATATTTTATTATCCTTTTCACCTAACTGTGACTTTCATCGCGTCACTCCAAACTATAACTGCACAAACATTTATTCTAGCGTCATATCTTACTACAATGATAAATTACTTTTTGTTACTAATTTAACGATACACACATAGTCGTTTATTCTTGTTCTGTGTTTATAAACACGCCTATTACACAGGGAGCACCAGTTCCCTCAAGATTACAGGTACACCTTGCTGACGAGTGCCAAATAGCACGAAACCCGGGTCCAGGGTTTCCTCTTGACTACCTCCAACCATCATCTAAATCTCAATACATAGTGCCTGCAGTGTCGAGTCACCTAGACTGGTGGCCACATTGCAACACGATCGATAGCATTCGATCTGCACTAATAAGGACTAGACAAGCATGACATTGATCACCACCCAGTGATCAATCAATTGTGACACTGTTTGCGTATTTCACGTCTCCTTTATTTCTATTCCCTTATTTTCTCCATTTCCTTCTTTAAACTCAATTCAATATTCTTCTCAATTACACAGACCCGATTTATTATTATTAATATTCTACTATTATTATTCTAAATTTTTTAAATACGGCAAGTATAATGCTAACATTATTGAACATTGTGTATTATTGCATTTTCTGAAGAAACCCGAAATGGTTTCTTCACAACACTTATGTACCCATAAGATGTTTGTGAATGATAATAATAAGCAGTTTATGCTTTCAATTTCGAACGCGTGAGCTTCTTCCTGTTTGTCTGTATGAGCCTTACGTGAATGTACAGGTAGCTCACCTACATGAGGTTTGCGGAGGTGGTAGGCTCTGTCCTTTACACGTTTTTTTGTCGTCTAAACAATTCACAAGTGAAATGGTCAGCTCGAACTTACCATTCGTGTTTGGTCCTAACTTCGTATGGCCTATCCTGGTGCATGTGAATTCCAGGTGGCAGTCGACGTCTGGCGGCACGAAATGCTTCCAGAGTTGTAGCCGCCATGTGTGAAGATGGGAAGGTTATCTTCATTAGACGGGGTCTAGAATCACCATCCTTCTTGTCTAGTCTCGTCACATAATGAGTCGATATATTTTTGAGCCTCAAGGACTGTTTGATGAATTTCCATTCCCTGAGCTTGATTGAGTTGGGTATTTTCCGGTATACCTTGCACGATTATATTCCTCCCGCGAAAAAGGGATTGCGACTTTCTTTGGGGATGTTCCGAATGAGATTTCGCTCAGAATACGGTATGTCAAGCGGTATTCTTACATTCCCATTTGACTTCAGTAAATCACCCGCTAGCAGGACATCCATACGTCGGTAGCATTCTTTAGTGCTACACGAAGTAGATTCGGGTGATTTTGATGCTTTGGTATTCTCATAATGGCCGATCTGCCGATCTATGTGTTCACCGGGCCTTCTGGGGCTGGTAAAAGCACGCTACTACAAATGTTGCTGGAGAAGTTTCCCAATAGTTTTGGATTCAGTGTATCTCACACAACGCGAAAACCACGCCCGGGGGAAAGGGATGGAGTAGATTATCACTTCACTGACAGAGATTCGTTTTTGAGTGAGGTTTCCCAGAGGAATTTTCTTGAGTATGCAGAATTTGCTGGGAACTTTTATGGAACATCAAGACTTGCTGTTGAATCAGTAATTGACTTTTCATATCATGATTTTATTTCTATTATTAATAATCAGAATAGGTGTTTGTTGTAAGGGTTTATGCTCTTTCCGGATAACGCGCTCTTTAGGATATATTAGGACTTGTGAAATCTGGAGTTAAATCGTTTATCAAGTCGACCATTAATGTTGTCAAGTTTTAACATATTCTATTTCTTATCATCTATATACCTAAGTTACATAAGGGGTAGAGTTTATGATTCAGAAATCTTTCTTAGGTTAACTAGGAGTGGAAATAGTATTGTTTAAAATGAGAATCCTTCAGAATAATGTAGTTAATCGTTCCTATATTGGGTCTTGTAGGATGCCATTTTATCTGTTATTTTATAGGTGGGTAGTACTTCGTTAAAATTAGTTTACTTGTCATCGTGTCAATTTTTTATGCACTACGTTGGTCAGTGTCTAAAGCCTAATGTTTGTTCTGTCAAGTAAGCCTGATGCTGTCTTTCAATAAACTTGGCTGTTAGGAGTACGGTGTCTATAAGCATCGTGAGTTTCTAAATACACCACACTATACAATAAACATAGGGGACTTTTGATATGCTAGTGCACCGTTGTTAGTTTCCCTGGAAACACCGACTATTACTTATTTATTTTAACACGTAAATATTGGTATAAGGAGGCACCAACTACATATGTGCCACACAAATCTCACTCGATATATGTGAGAGCTGTGATGCTGCCCGGGTGCCCAGACCGAAGCAGTTGGTTTTCTTAGTGGGTCACACACGAGCCTTCGACCTGAAGGTCTGGTCCAGAAGGCAGTGGAGCATTGTAAGGAGATGCAGTCACATGGTAGCCGGTGACCAACAACTAGTCCACATGCCATTTTTTCCTTCAAGATACTGGAACCAGCC